AAAAAAAAAAAAAAAAAAAAAAAAAAAAAAAACCAGAAAATGCTTTATTAGAAAATTTATCACTTGATGAAGCTATAATTAAAAACTACTTGAGAGAAAAATCATTCAGCTTAATTTTTACATTTAGGCATCAGAAAAACTTCTTTCTGTACTTTACTAGGAGAAATAAACCAGCGTTGATCAGCTACTTAGTATGGTTATTGAGATAAATCGGCAACTAATCTCTATGACAAAAGCGAGCTCACTGTAGCTTGATGATGTATATTTACAGCAAAAATAACAGCTTGAATCTATTTAGAGTTTAGTGGATCAATTGGGTAACAGTCAAAAAATATATATATGTGTATATATATAAATATATATATATATATTTTTAACACTTATTACTCTTAACTAACTCTTGCTGTAATTTAAATATCTATACATCAATTAAAAATTGTAATTTGCTTTTGTTGTTTTTCAATTTATCTTTACCATTATCACTTTTCAAGAGAATAACGGTGACACAACTGTATTTGTTCTTCAAACTTTTGTTGTCTACTGAATAAAACTATCTAACAGAAAGTAGAAATCAGACGACAGACGAACAAACAAATGATAAAGCAAAGAATTTTTAAAACATGATCAAAATTTGAGAATTTTTTTCAAACCTAATTGGTTGCACTTTTGAAAAACATTAATTCTTCTCACTGATCAGACGCTTTAAAAACTGTCTTTATCAAATCAAATTTACTAAAATATATCCATTAAATTTTTTCACTTATTTAATAATTGTCCCAAATCTTTTACAGCAAGAAAAAATTAAGGAAGTAATCATGTTTTTAGATTTTTTCTTTCTGTTGCGTTTGCGTTCACATTTGTGTGCAAAATTAAAATTTGGAAGCACAGACACGTAACACAAAGAAAAAAGACAAAACATGTAGGAAAAAGTTTAGCTTTAAAATTGGTGACAGTGTGTCGGCTTTTCTTCTCCACCTTCTGTTTCCCACTCTTTTGAACATGACTTCCGAAGTATTTATGCTGCTATAAAGTTCTACCAATCTTCTAAACCAATGCAAATGCAATATCAGGAAGCAGCAGCTACAACAACGATTGATGAAGTAAAAGAATTTGAGATTTATTGTCTAGTCCTTTCTTCACTAAGTCCACTTGATTAGGAAAAATACTTCACATATTAGAAATATGTATTTTGAAATT